AACTCTTATAGTTATATTCTATTAACAATTTCTTATAAATTGTTATGTAACGATTCACCCCGTTACACGGATGGTCCCGTCAAGACTCACCTGTTCCGGCTTGAACTAGATTCACTAGAACAAGCCATTTCCATTGCGGAGCAGGAAGACTTCAGTCTGAGACAGGCTCGCGCCAGCTCGACATCATATCGTCAACCGAGACGATATGACAACGGAGGTCCAGAGCCGATGGAACTCTGTTATGTAGAGAGCGAGAAGGCTCGCTCTACAGACTACAAGAAGTTGCAGAGATGCAACAGATGTCAGAAGACAGGACACTACGCAAACGAGTGTAGTGCCCCTCGTCCAGTGTCTCGCAACACTTGGCGTAGTGACCGTCCACCCATGAGAAAGGGCAGGGACGAGGGTCCGCTGTTGGTGCAAAGACGCAACAACGGGATGGACCGTCAAAAAACGGACAGGATCAGTAGGTGCGGAGCGCCCTACTGGTCCAGCAACGTCAAGAGAATTTGTAGGCCTCTTGATGAAGGTTGCTCCCAACACACAAACGTTGTGCGTTGCTGCTCTAGGTAATGAGATCTCACTCATTAACTTGAAACTCGAAGTGAAAAATCAGTTGTCCCTTCGAGCTCTAGTCGATTGTAAGGCGTCCAACGATTTTGTGCGACGCCAATCGCTAGAAGATGGTCACTTTAATTTTAGTGAATGTGACATACCTCCTACGAGGATGACGGTACGTCTTGCGACAGGCGCATCCGTAACCGTCATGAAGCGTATAGTGAAGATCCACTATACGCTAGAAGATACCCAATATGACGATGACTTTATCGTATTGGATTTGGATGACAAATTTGATGTCATCCTTGGAATACCGTGGCTCAGAAGGTACGAACCACGAGTAAACTGGCAACATCGGACAGTAACGATGCCTGCCGCTTGTTCATCAGATGGCCATCTGATGAACGTTTTGGAGCGTCCATAAGCGTGTGGATGTACTACGAGTGAGTGCGATGGCCTCACTTGTGGTACGGTCGTTAGTACGACTGCACAAAACCTTAGTGTACCAAACGGCTGCACTTCGGAGCAAAGTTCCGGTGGCTGTGAGGAAACACAGGCTGCGCCGAAGGTCCACCACTCGAATAAGTCGGGTGGACTGGGACAAAGATGTATCCTTAGCGGGGAACATCTAGAAGAGAAACAATCGATCGCTCAGGTTAAGCGAAACGATAATCCTAGACCGACTGGAGAGTCTTTCGTGGAGGATCTCGCTGTGGTTGCGCAACCCCAGCTAGAGGAAGTAAAGGGAATAAGTCCCAAGATTACAAATACGGCGGAAATAAGTTCCCCGAAACCCGCGGGAATAAGTCCCCGGGAAGCCGAAGGAATAAGTCCTTCGAAGCCTGAGGGAATAAGTCCCCAGGAAATGACAGAGACATTGAATGTCATAGTCAATAACGGATCAAGTGTAGGCGCATATACACTTGATCTGATTGCGCCTCCGAAGTTAACTTCGGAGATCACTCAGTTGCCAACGCTCGAACATAAAAGATTCTTGCGTGATCTGCGTAGTGGCAAAGTCAAGCAGATCTGCATACTCGTCGCTGACGACGAGTGTGTAACCGACATAAGGTAAGCAACAGTGTTTACAGAGAACGAGAGAGTTCTCAGTAGTTCATCTATGGACGAGAGTGTTCTAGATGAAAAGACACGAATTGAGCGATATGACTCCCAATCATGGGAATCGCTCAAGAAAAATCCTCTCTATGAAGATTTGGTTGAATTCAAGGATGAATTCCCTGAAACTGTTCCGTGCGAATTACCGAAGGATAAAGGTATTCGACACGAGGTCGATCTTAAACCAGGCTCGAAGTACTGTGTCATGAAGCAGTGGCCACTGCCTCGTGAACAAGTACTTGCGATCGACAAGTTCTTTGCCGATCGTTTAGCTGCGGGCCATGTGAGGGAATCAACTTCCCCACATATCTCTCCGACCTTCTGTGTGCGAAAAGCAACAGGAGGGTGGCGGATAGTGCATGCATTTAACAAATTGAACGCTGCAACGGTACCGGCTCAGACGCCGATACCGAGGAAGGACGTAATCATTGATGGTATGTCAAAGAGTACCATCTTTTCGTCCATGGATTTGATGGATGGCTTCTATCAAATCCTTATGCGAGAACAGGATATACCCTATACCGCAGAAGCACGCCTAGCGGCATGCTCTGGGAATGGCTAGTAATGCCACAAGGGCTCAGTAATGCCCCTGCCACGTTCAACAGATGTGTATCACATCTGTTATGACCAGTACGAGAATTCGCGCCGAGTTATTTCGATGACGTATTCATCCATAGTCGAGCTATGGATGGAAAGTCGGACGTTGAGGTTCACAGGTACCACGTCCGACAAGTTCTTACAATCATGCGAAGGCATTAATTGCATGCAAACCTCAAGAAGTGTGTATTCGCATTAAACGAAATACCACTTCTAAACTGCATCATGGGTAAAAACGGTGTACGTCCTGATCCCGAAAAGATCAAGGCGATCACCGACTGGCCTGTGCCGGTCGATGTCAAAGGTCTTCGAAAATTCCTTGGGCTAGCGGCGTATTTGCATAAGTATTCACGCAATTACGCCGAGATGACTGTGCACCTCTCTCGTTTGTTGAAAAAGAACGAGAGGTGGTTATGGAACGCTGAATGTCAACGCTCCTTTGATGGTATCAAGCAAAGCTTGATACAATCCCCAGTCCTAGCAATAGCCGATCAGGACAGGCCATTTCATGTGGTCTGTGATGCCAGCGATTTCGCAATCGGCTGTGCATTAATGCAGTACGATCTTGAAGGCGTTGAACGCGTCGTCTGCTATCAGTCGCGTCAGCTTCAACCAGCTGAGCGGAACTATCCAGTGCATGAAAAGGAACTCCTTGCCATGAAGTATGCACTCGCGAAGTTCAGAGTCTATCTATTAGGAGATAGACCCTTCATTGTTTACACTGACCATGCGTCATTACGCACGGCAGTGAACAGCCCGCACCTTTCACAACGAATGGCGCGGTGGTTGTCATTCTTTGCAGAATACAACTTTACGGTCGAGTACAAACCAGGACGACTTAATGTCGTCGCTGATGCACTCTCACGTCGTCCCGACTTTGAAACAGTCGCGAAACCCAACAGTGAGACAGTCACTGTTGCGGTTATGACGTCCTCAGTCCCATCTACAACGTTGTATGATGATGTGAGGCGGGCATACGCCCAAGATGGTGAGATTGTGAAGTTGTTGACACATCTCTCCCAACCATCTCGAGAATCGTTGAAACGATTGTCGTCTGCGTATCGATCTGCATCAGATCGATACACTACTCGCAACGGGTTAATGTATTATACAGCCGTTTCTGGTGACACACCACGTGTTGTCATTCCAGATGATACTGATCTGCGTTTGCGGATCATGTTCGAGTATCACGATGCTCCTATAAGAGGACATCGTGGCCGAGAGAAAACATATCTCACGGTAAGTCGAGACTTTTACTGGCCCCGCCAGTATCAGTTTGTGCGAAAGTATGTTCGCGCATGCGAAGTCTGTCAACGAGTGAAGTCAAGTCCTTCACTGCGTGCACCTTTACAGCCTCTACCGGTTCCGGCTGAGTGCTGGGAATCCATCTCAATGGATTTCGTCTTCGGGTTACCCAAAGACGCACGCGGGAATACGGGTATTCTCGTATTTGTTGACAGATTCAGCAAAATGGTACACCTTGTGGCTGTACCAGAGACAATCACGGCAAGTGGCTGTGCTTGTGTCTTTATTGACACCATCTTCCGACTTCATGGGTTGCCCCGTGAACTCGTATCAGACAGAGATCCACGATTCACTGCTGATTTCTGGCGTTCCGTGTTCAAATCACTCGGAACGCGCTTGAAGATGTCAACATCTGATCATCCAGAGTCAGATGGTCAGACGGAACGTGCCAATCGTGTCCTTGAAGAGATACTTCGAGGATACGTACACTCCTTTAAGAGTTGGAGTGAGTTTTTGCCAATGGTAGAGTTTGCCATCAACAACTCGGTGCATGCGTCCACGACACATACACCGTTTTACGTGAATGGCTTGCGCCATCCGCGTGTTACCACCATATTAGAGTGTAACTCTGATTTAAGGGGGGGAGGGACTCGCGCGAGCAAAAACCGATTTGGTTCACGCTCATCACGCTCTGACGAAGAAGTCATTGCGTTTGATGCCGATATCGATAACATCGATATCGAAGAAGATGATGCCAGTGAGAGTGCGGAAGCCCTCACTGAAGACAATGATCCCAGTGAGAGTGCGGAAGCCCTCGCTGAAGAAAAGTTTGATGTTGCTGCAGTGCGCTCACAGCACACTGAAGCTAACGAGTCATCAGATGAGTTCATACTGGCTCGTGAAACGGTAGTCCGTTTTGTGCAAGACTCCATCGCCGAAGCGGTGGATAAGCAAAAGCAAAACGCTGACAAGAATGGAAGGGCAAACACTCTTTTATTTAATAAAGGTGACTTAGTCCTACTGTCTACAGTTAATCTACCAAAGCATGTAGTGACTAACTTGGGTAGCAGTAAACTACTACCCAAGTACATCGGCTCATTTCGTGTTTGCACCGCCTAGGCAATGCATACACGATCGAGTTACCACGTAAGATGCGAACGCATCACACGTTTTACGTTGGTCGGCTTAAGCCGTACCATCAGTACGCTGCTTCTTCCGATGAAGAACGCCCTTGCGCTCAAGCATCTCGCAGAGAGCCTTGTGATCCCGATGGTGGGCATCAACAAGGGTCTGAAGAGCAGCTATCTCATCCCGAGACCGATCAGCAATCCCACGAGCTACCCTTAGCTCGTCACGAAGAGATGTCAAAGATCTCTCGTTCTCGAGCTGAGCAAAGGCAAACTCAGCTCGATGCTTCGAGGCAGTGTCCGCCATTTGGAGACGCCTATTCCGCTCATGCTCGAGATCGTCGCGTAACCCTTGCGTTACGCGATCAAAGAAGCTCTCGGGACACACCGATCCACATGATCGTGTGGAGAGCGTCTTTCCTCCTCCTCCACCTCCATTAGAGGACTCTCGCGGTGGCCAGCGCTATCTAGTTGAGCAGCTTTTGAACCACCGCGACGTGAACGGACGTCGGACGAGTTACCTCGTCCGGTGGCGCGGCTATCCCCCGTCCTGGGATTCTTGGGAGCCCCGCTCCCAACTGATGATCGACATACTGGGTCTGGTTGAGCAGTACGACGCGGCACATCCTGTGCCGCAGAAGGACCGCCGGAGAAAGTCTTCCCGGCACGGTCGTAAAGAGATTTCAAGTTGTCAATCCCTTCGTACATCTCAGTAGAGACACGTACGCGCCACCACGGGCTGGTAAGGAGGTAAGCCTCCTTAGGTGCTCGTGCAGAGTTGTTCACACAACATGGGCACGAGTCTCCCCAGGAGAGGCAGGGTAATCCTTTCTCTCTAGACAGACGATGCAGCTTGTAGCGTGCACCTATCGGGGTTCGCTTTTCAAACTTATCACGAGCTTTGATAAGTTTGTCGTTCCAAGCATCACGACCTACATCCTCGAGATTATGGATGTAGGCGTTCCATGCTTGAAGTAGTGAGGGACCAAAACGTTTGTGATTCCCACTGTACCATCGATGCCTAAAGAAAGCATCGATGAAGAATTCATTTTCAGCGCGATAGTTTTTCGCGCTGGGGTCAAGGTGATGGATCCTTGACGAATCGAACAACCTTTTTCGATAACGATCACTCGTCGTCGCCGACAAGTGATCCATGACGGACTTTGGAGGCATCCATGCCTTCTTCTCAGGAGCGAGACGCAACACATTGCGGTCCCGCTCTTCCTGCGACGTGCCGACAGAAGTACTGGCACCTCGCTGTGAAGTGGTGTCCATAGGAGAACCGACACCACTATTAGCGCCCGAGTCTCGCGACCTCGAGCGCCTTCGCTTCGGCGATGGTTCATCTGATGAATCAGATGAATTAAAGATGCTACGACGCAAAGCATCGTCCATGCCACGCTTGGCAGGCGGCTTGGATTCAATCGCCGTCGATACGGATCCGTCATCCGTATCAGGAGAGTATGAGACACCGAGCTCGTAATCTGTGAAGACATGAGTGTCTTCATGACCAGCGCCTGCATCACCAAGTGAAACAGGCTGGGTCGCTTCAGCAACCGATGAGACATCAGTTGCTGTTGTTTCTGCCTCGGCGTCTGCACAGAGACGTGCAGACGCGCTCTCGGCGGCCTTGTTCGCGCATCGCATGGGCTTGTTTACCATGCGATGAAATGTTGGAAAGTGGACGCGGACCAACAAGTGCAAACCCTGTCCCAAACGATTTGGGACGAGTATCCATTAAGATAACCAGTCACTAAAGTGACTGATGGTTTAGGGGGGGTGATGCAACGGGGTGAATCGTTACATAACAATTTATAAGAAATTGTTAATAGAATATAACTATAAGAGTTATATTCTCAGAATATTGTCATAAGGACAAATATTCTGTAGCACTTACGAGTAGTTCCTAATTGGTTGATATAGGCCATTATATCAACCAACGAAGACGCGCCACGACAGACGCACGCAATGAGTGGTGAGCAGATAATCAATTTACACATTTGTATTTAGACATAGTTAGATGAAGATAAATAGTGATTTATTGCAGACATTAACTATACTAAATACAGTTCTACTTTTTACTTTAACCAAGTACTCGCTTCTTCTTACCGTCTTCCTCTGCACGTACGAGTGTACGTGAAGTCACGAGGCACCGCCTTATTCTGTCATCAGAATAAGTAGCTTGTACTGTCATCAGTACAAGCTTCAGGGTGCCCCGTTACACTACTCGAGTCGGAGCTAAGCCAATTAGTCGATTTTCCAGTGTCTATGGCAACTGTCGCTGCTGTGGTTGCCATTTGATTGTAATCGCGACAGTGGTGAGCCCAACTAACAACATCAACGTCGGATGAGATTGAACTTGCCTCTCGATATAGTGCCAAGAACTGGGGCCTTATTGGGGATTGGCGCATCCGAAGCTGGGTGATCACCATTTCGTCGGCACCGACGATGTGAAAAGAAACCAAACCGCCTCTTTTTGCGCACCGGGGGCCACAAATAAGACATGTATACGCTGTTTCAACGGTCGTCAGGTGAGGCGCGCCGATCACTAGCTAGCAACCCATCGTATTTCCGCCGCACGCGTTAGGACATGCACACGAGTGATAACAGAACCAGCGCCACCCGGTCCCATATTACCACGGATTCATCGGCGAAAAAGAGCAAAGAAAGAAAGCTGGAAGCCCTATCTGCAGGTACAATGCGAAAAGGCGAAGGCTCGATCCGGTGCAAAAGAGAGTCTGTTAGTGCAGCTCGTACACAATCCTGGACATTCTCAGCATCGTCCGCATGGGGGGCAGTCGAGCGTCGGAAGTGCGCAAGAGCGCTTCTTAAAGAGGACACGGTGCGGGCTTGTTGCTCTTCTGACAGTAAAGTCGGGTCCTGCATCTGAAATAGGCGTTCGACCCCGATAGCGCTGCTGGACAGTTCCAGAATCCATGGCTAGGATTGTTGCAGATCATCAGTCATGCCTGATCATAATGAAGATCTGTCTACTAGTATAATTCAGTTATGAACGACGTTCTACACCTGTAATAATATAACTTGTGGACGCATATAATTCAGCATTTGCGATGGTGCATGCAGTAGAATAACAGGGACGACAAGTGTTGGGCCGAATATGCAAAGCAGCTAAATGTGACGGTAATATTCTTGCGGTCTACATACCGGTGTGGCACTGGAATTGAATGGCAACGGTGTCTTGTAATGAACATCCTTACATCTCGATTACGGACATCGTTGTGCCATCTCGAGCCATATCAATGCACGCATCGACATCGTTGATTGGCACACTTCTTGGATTCAGCTTACATCAGTAATATTTTGGATAATGCATTACTCTTAGCAGCTCGATCTCTAAAGCATGATAACGAGACAACAACACATCTAAGCTTGTTGGTGACGGGAAATATTGACACATGTCGTAATGGTCACATAAATCGAGTAACTGAAGACAATTTTGCATCTGCATGTGTTGACAACATATTTGGTTCCCTCCAGCGTCCAACAGCGACGAGCGCTGACTACTCTAGCCTTCTCGTAGACTACTGTCGGCCTATACGACAACTATTCAGACGAAAGCACACGATGAGTGGACGTGTCCCTTGATAGTCAAGATTCGCAGCTGACCATAACATTGCGCGACGTCTGTATGAAAGAATGTCGAAAGTACGACTAGTTGAAGCTCGGGTTCGGCCGTCTGAGATCATGCTGATAAGAGACATGCGCTGAAGCGCTTCCACCTCGATCACCAAGTCAGTTTCCGAATGTAGGTTACTAGTCGACCGGGATCTTCCCTCGAAGCCACCCCTCCAAGGAATCGTTGTTGGTCGCATGGTCACTAACATGATCGTTCAATATTAGAACATTAGATAAGCGATATTTTGTAAATCAAGATATTACTTTCGACGGCCCACTCAAAATAATGGGTGCATCTTCAGAAAAGGAAAGCAAGTGTGGCGGAGCTACTTAGCGCTCCTTAACAATGGAAGTATTGGGCTCAAAGAGTCTCTTAGTTAAAAAAAGCTAACGATGACGTACAGTCGTTCAAGTGTACAAGCTTCATCATTCGGGTTTCAAAGGGAGTACGATTCACAGAATCACACACTAACTAATCACCGCCAGTTAAAAAAACAAGAGTTAACGCCTTTACAAGACTAACACTCTTACAACACACTATGCCTTGACTTGGCACTAGCGTCCAACGATTCGAAAGCGAACCAAACTTGATTTTTTCTTTTAGATCCGGTAATTTAACCCTTAAACCTTGCCTGAATGACTTATACATTGCGATTCTATGACAGAAGTCTTATCCCTTCTACCCGACAAGGTGCGGTATGACCGTAAGTATGTGGTACCAAGGCTGTACCACTCAGATCCACCGATCTTCACTTGGTGTGGACACACAACAGAACCTGTTCAATAGCCTCGTGTAACTTCGTTACAGTACGCCTATAGTTTAGCTCTCCGACTTTCTTATCCACGGTAAAAGGCACGAGATACGTGGCGATAGCTAAGTATTATCACCAGGCAGTACTAAAATGCATGTCTAGGTCGAGTGCTAGAACTTGAAAGTACTTTTTCTCGTCTGCTTAAACGTTCATCATTTTTACTACCAATTAGCTTGCACTTTGTTTTCCTTTCATTGTGCGCTTGCTACAGCGTCACGGACGTAAAGTGTGACGGCTAATCTTTCATCAACAAAGAGTTTCTCCAATACTTTTACCATTTCAGCTCGCCATAACACCATTAAGTTGTCGGTCATAGATGTAAAGGGCACCGGTAGCTTGTACTGTCACAGTACAAGCTAATTACACTGAACACATAGTGAGGTAGTGCCACGAGACTTCAAGCACGCGCGTCGTACAGAGAAAGTTTTCGACACGACGAAAGAGGTACGAGTAGAAGTTTATTCAGAATAGTTATCTCCTGTTTATTATAACCCATTTGGTGTTCTTTTTACCACAAATCCTTATACAAACATGTATTGTAACTATCCGCTCACCACCACTACCACTCACCACTGCATTCTTCTGTCTTGACTCAGCTGTATTTGATGATATCGTTAATCTATATCAACCAATGAGAAGTATTTTACTTCTGCAACACAGTATTGTCTGATAAGCCAGTCTTGTGAGAACATAATGTATTTCCTCACATAGTGTTCATACTTGATTTATACCTTATGTAAACTACCACTCAACGGAGGCACCCCGTTACATTACCCCCCCCTTAACTATCAGTCACGTTAGTGACTGATGGAAGAATGAGTGACTTCAATATGTAAATCTAGAAAAAGGAATCACTTGTTGGCTATATTTAACCATTCCTATGATCTCCCGCATATTTTACAAGTCCACGCTATTTTGCAGCCAAAGCTGCTAGGAGTGCAGCCATGAGGTTAAAATTCCGCCCGGAGGATAAAGAAATTGCCTTGAGCGCAGCAGACGACAACCTGCCTGTCGCTTCCTGGTGTAGACTCATGCGGTAATGCGCCGCGTGGAATTGAAGATTACAATCCCGATCCCATGTACTTTGGAGGGTCGGATGGCAACACCGACTTGACGATGACTGTCGCACATACAGAGTAAAATGCGGAGACGAAAGAGCCGAGCAAGTAGTACTAGCCAAGCGCAATGAGTCTCGCTGAGCATTGTTACATCTTCAAATTGTCCTTCGATTCGGGCGCTACGTCTTTAAGGCGGAGTCGCTCGCTTGAGAATAATCAAGACGGATTCAAAAGCCAGTTGAACTACAACGACGGTGAAGCATTAATGCGTCACAATCGAAACGACCGTGCTGATGTTGATGTCAATACTAAAATTTACACCCCGCAGGTGGCCAGAGATCGCGACGTACTGCGCGTTGCTCTGATGAAGAAGGCGTGACTGCTTCCCCAGTGAGTGTTTGATTGTTTTTGCATCACGGTAAGCGATTACTATCGAATCAGACTTTTCGACCCACCAATGCTTCATGGCCTTGAATCTGATGCGAGTGACTTTGCACTGAGCGTGACTTCATCATTGATGTATTCTTCATGCATCAATGGCTCAACGGGAACCATAAACATGTTGGTGCCTTGCTAATCTTTCCGTGGAGCGCGTGCATATATAAAGTTGGGGATATCAGCCGCAAAGAATGGCTTGACAGGTCGACCCTGTCTCGCAATCAGTTTGAGAAGAGGACTTCTACCAGTGCAAGTTACAAACTGCATCGGTTATCGAGAGAGATCAGGTTAATATACCTCTTCTGGAGTGATGCGTGCTAATGCTGTTTGAAAAACTTGAATCCATCTTTAAAAGAAGTTTATTCAATGACCGAAGCCTGGTGGAGGGTTCGCGTCTCGACGGATATGTACGTGGGAATAGCTAATTTGTAATCCCTAAACAAACACGCTGGTATTTTGTTCTCCAATTTTCCTTCTTCGGCGTCGGATGTGCCTTGTCAAAATACTACTTGAAAAATCCCAACACGTCCACCGTCAGTTGCGAAGAAGGCTCCCAACGAATCGCCGAGGGCGGATAGCCACGTCACCGGACGAGCTACCTCGTCCGACGTACGTTCACGTCGCGGTGGTTCAATAGTCTTTCCGGGAGGAAACGTTAATCACCGTGCGTATCAACCAATGATGAGGCGGAGAAGGAGACACA